GCGTGGATGACAGAGTCGGTGCCCAGCCCTTCAAGCCTGATCTGACTGACCCACGCCTGATCTGTGGCGTTGATCGAATCCCTCATCCCTCATCCCTGAGCCGTAGTCTCGCCCGGCCGGCCGAAGGACGTAAGGACCTCGAGATTAGACCTCCCCTCCGAATCTCCACTCTGCGCAAAACTAGCCTGGTACCCTCTCAACGTCGCCCAAAGCTGGGGCACCTCGTCCTCGTCGGTCAGCCAATCACCAGTCGGACTGGCCAGGTCCAATTTTTCCAGCACAGCCAGAGACGCCCTCACATAGGTTTCGCTTCCTGCGCCAGGTTTCCTTTGCGAACAAGTGGCGCGTCAAGCAACACCCGCGCGATTCGGTTGATTTCGCTGATGAACGAATTGCCTAGTGCTTCCGTGTTGATTTCGTTGATTGGCCGAGGAGGATGAGAAAGGTCTTGACAATATCCTCACGCTCAGCCGCGAGATCTTGTTCCGTAGTGCTGAAATGGGTGGACGGGTCGTACTTGTCTAGAATGGGGGCGATCATCCCTGGAGATGATGCTCTATCTGAACTGCCACCACCAGATTTTTTGAGGTTGTAGGCGTCGTAGAGATTCCAGTATTTCTCGACGAGATGCAAGCGTGTGGCTAGCTGGGTAGTATAAATGTTGGCCTTTTGGATCTCATATTGGATTCGTCGACGCTCTTCAGGTCGGTTGAAGTCAATACGTGTGTTATCAAAGCCGTTCGTTGCGTACTGAGCCAGTTCCTGGCCGACGGTGGATTCAGGGTTTGGGGAAGGATACTTTGGCTCTCGCGACCGAGGTGATGGAGCCCGGAAACTGAGGACAAGCTCGCCAGGAAGACCGTCAAGCATGCGCTTGACGGATTGCAGAGATTCCTCCAAGGCTCTCTTTTGCCGCTCCCAGTCTACGACGTTGTCAACACCACGGACTAGCTCCATTGCTGCTAAGTCATTGTAGGTAGATAGAACTCGGATATTGGCGTTAAAACCGGTTATTACGGGAACGAGGCCTGGAGGCTGGAGATCGAGATGGACATGCTCTGGTGTAATGTAGCCATCATCGACTTCAACGGGTAACGGAGGATATGGGTGTGATGGCGTTGCTGGTGGCATTAGCAGGTCCCATTGCGAGACGCCAGCCTGCTGGAATAATTTCACCCCCCGCGAATAAAGCCCAAAATGTTCTTACTCCCAACTCTCGCATCAATTGATCGACACCGACATGATGTGGTCCCTCGAGAGCATGGCCATTCGCTGTCATCCTAGGTGTTGGTAAGGCATGACCGTTCGTGTGTGTAGTACTTGTGACATTGACCTTGTGAAGACCGACGGTTGCAGATATAGTCATACATTGCTTGAAGTAGTGGATGGCGGATTGCCGATTGAATGTTTGGACACATGTCAACCCCTGCAGGTAGCTAATCACAGCATCATGGACCGACATTTTGCGGTCCAAATATGCAGGACCCAGAGCCTCCATCGCTACCTTATGGCATCGATCCACCAGATCCATCGGGTTCGAATACAAGGAATCCATCTGTTGCTGGTGTTCCATTGGCACACCTTCGCGGATGTGTTGTCGAGGTCTTCGAGGGAAGCAAGCCACCAGATAGCCAAGCATCGAAGCGACCAAAGCTACAAAAGTCGGATTGGTCAGGTCTTGGCGCCGGTTAAAGGCATCCCGAAAGGATGGTTCGTGAGGAAGTGGGACAAGAGGATGTATGAATGTGAAGTAGTCATCGACCAGCCGCTCAAGCATGGAAAGGGGACATATCGTTTCTGCAGAGAGCACCTGCTGCTGGGAGAAGTAGGCGAGAGTGTGGGCAGCGTGTGTGGGCGAGGACGGTTGCGGTTGAGACATTGCTGGACCTGCGGGCGAGTCGTATTTTCTCTTGAGACTCTCGGCGTGTTTATTAGGAGGACCTCGGCGCTTGCTTGGTCGTTCAAAGGTACATGGAATTTGGAGACCCTCACAAGCCTTGCAGGGTTGTTGTTCGTCGCATTTCACCTTTCGCACAGAGCATGAGTCACAAGCCTTACGTAGCCTGGCTTTTGTCTCGCCTGCATGACCTTGAATCTTACTCGTATTGTTGTTTGACGGTGTTTGCGCCTGGGTGGGAGGCGCAAGTTGAGGGTCGACGTCAGGAAAGATGGGATTCGACGCGTTCGGAGGAAGATTGGGCAAGGGCGGGTAGGGGATGTAGTTGTTGGAAAGGGAAGGACCTTGCTGCGGTAGCATAGGTGCACTTGGAGCGGCGCCATATGCAGACATATTGCGCTCACTTTTGTGATGAACTGGACCGTCCATGGCAATCCGGTGTTTCTTCGGATATACCTCGGGGGCGGCGGGATGTAATGTTGTCAAGAGTCAAATGCACATGAGAAATTCAATAAATTTGTGCCGTACCGTTGATATATGTCAAACGAAGTCTGTGACCGATTGGTTGTAGTGGTGTTGGAGCATATGTGCGACAGTGAAGCTCAACAACATCTCGACACTACGTGACTAGCCCAGCTAGCGTGCCAAGACTGAAGAGTTTTACCGAAGTCCTGGCGATACCTCGGAATTTCTGCGGTCGAGGGGTCAGGCGGGTGACAGAAATTACAAATTTGATGATGATTTCACAACGAAGAGCCCTAGCAAAGGTTTTGCGTTGTGATTCAAAGATTTCGATAACACTAATAATATATCGTTCCGCAAAATCTAATTCATCAAGAGGGTATTCGTTGAGTTATTCCAGCTGACAAGGCGAAGGGATTTCTTGGTGTGTGCAGGTTTTTCTGTCACCCGCGTGGGGGTGTCTGCGAGTCTACTCGCTCCTTTCTCTCTTCTGGTTAAACATACTGATAATTCGTAGACTTCTAGGCTCAAGCTTTGTAGATCTCCAAATTCTCTTGAGGATTAAGTCACTACAAGACCCTCAATTTTCTATCTGCGCCTTTGTCAAACATCCATCATGCCTACAAACCCACACCTCAAGCAGCTGCTGCTAAAGCATTCAACCATGCCCCCAGCCTGTACCCACCTTTGCTGATCTGCAGCTCGATGTACGGCACGGCGCCAGTATAATACGTCCCGTCGAGCTCTATGCCCGACTCGTCGTTTTGAAGCACGTACAGACAGTTCAACCCGTTGGCGTCCTGCGCCCATTCGAGAGCACAGTCAGTAGCCGTCGTAATATCCACACAACTAACCCAATCCTCCTTCTGACTCGCATACGTTCCATTATCAATCTGCGCAATCAACGTCGCCGCAAACGAGTCCACAGTCGCTGTGCTGTTCTCCCCACCAGCAATCTTCTCGACCATCTGTGTGTCCCAGCATGCGTGAAGATTGGTGTCTTCGCCATCCCAGGTGACGGAGATGTCGTTGCCGCCTACTTCTTCTGCTTCGTCATGTAGAGGCTGCGTGATGTCGCCTAGGAAGTGGATCAGAAATTCCATGGCCTCCATACGGTTCGTGGCTGAGAGACTGGTGTCTTGGACGCGGGCGGTGTAGTTTGCGATGGCAGAGATGCTGCAGCCCTTTGTGGTGCAGTCGCGAGAGAAATTGACGGAGCAGGAGGTTGGAGGCGAGTCTTCGGCGTCGATGAAGCTGGCGCGCTTATTGTTAGTGGTTTTCCAGGGGGGAAGTGCCTGGGTGGGGGCTCACTGATAGGGCGCGCTGAACTTTCCTGCCGTAGTATAGCGGTAATCGTCCGCCCAACTGGCAATCGAAGCCATGGAGACATCGTTCCCTAATATGCCTGCCACGTACGTCTTTGCCGTGGAAGTCAGGTAGTTGTTGGCTATCGTAGCCACAGTTGCATGGCCGACGACGCCCCATGCATGAGCGCATGGCAGCGCGAAGAGGAGAGAGACCGCGAATGCAGTAGATGGATGCATAACTGCTGGGTAGATTACCTATGTATCGAGAAGATAGTAAATAAACTCAGTTTGGGCGGAAATAGAGCGAGCAAGCCCCCTTCTTAAGGGGATCTCATGCGCAAAATCTCCTGCTAGATTCAGGTACACTACATGATAGTACCTGCATGCCTCATATGGGCAGCCCAAACGTCATTCTTTGTCGATGTAGAACCCTCTGGCTCAGTCATGTGCCTGGATGAGAGGTAGAGGGTGACCGTAACGAGGATCGTCCTTTGTTCTTTGCCATCCCTCGGTCCACCCCGTGCCCGAGACAAGACAAGGTTGAAAAGTGATTGGTCCTCATCAAGACATTGACCGAGGAGGAATTCTTGGCAGGTCCGACGGCAAGTTGATTGCAACGGTCGCACGCAAGGCCGGTCGAGGTTGTCGTTGGTCGAAGGTTTGGCGCGTAGGTGGCGTTGCTAATTTGGGAACATTTTGCCTCGGAGCGATTGGCTGCAATTGGAAGGAGCTGAATCGCCAAGGATCAGGGCCACGTCCTGTCAATTCAGCTCTGAGACACACATCATAGAGACAATGCTGAAATCAATTATTTAAATATTGAATGAGATAATTACAAGAAGTCTGTATCTAACGAGTGACAAGGACCGATGTCCAATCTAGGGATCTATGCATTGACTGGGTATTGTGGACTCCTCCAAGACGCCAAAACGCATGCCGCTAAAAAGCAATCATGAAGCATTTATGGTAACAGGAGAAGGCTTCTCAGTCGTCGTAACCGTCACTGTGACTGTTACCGTAGCTTGGCCATTTCCTACCGCAAATTTTTCATTCGCCGGCACTGCCATCGGAGCAGACGTAATGCCGGCACTATCAGCGCTTGATGTCGATGTACTTGTGACACTTGCTTCTGTGAGTTGGAGACTGTCAGGGCTAGCCTGTGTAGACATTGCAGATGACTGTACGGCAGGTGTTGAAACCCCTGGGTAGGGTTGCGACGTTTGAGAGGTAGGAATTGAGACCTGCGCGCTGCTTTCGCTAGGTGAGACTTGGCCGTTCTCGGGCGCGGTGACAACAGCAAACAATGCCTTTGGAATTGAGACAACAGCTGCTGTAGTGGATGGTGGTGCTGGGGTAGCCTCTGACTTAGGAGAAGTGTTCAAGGAATCGGAGTCCTGGACTGGTTGAGCTGTAGCCGTCACACCAAGTACCGAAGGATTAGGTGCCTGGGATTGGCTCTGGATGCTCGCCTGGGCTGGGGGAGAGGACGTGACGGGCTGCACAGGGTTCTGCGCGCTCACGCTTTGTGTGGCTTGACTGAAGTCCCCCTCGGCCTGCAACATTGGGGCCGGCTGCGAAGTAACGGCCAGAGGGACTGCAGTGGAAGACGATAGACCAGCAAGCATACTATAGGCATCGCTTGGAACAGCGCATTGCACCACAACCCCGCTCAAACCTGAGGGTTTTGGAAGCGCGTAGCATGATTGGCCTTGAGGGCAGCTCTTTAATACGTAAGTCTCGTCGGACTGACATTCAGCGATCTCCCCATCAACACAAGCATATGCCTGGCTTGGGTCCCCAGGATTGCAAGGGGTGTCTTCGTTCAATGTCTTGTAAACATTGTTGAAGCCAGCGGCCATTGCCGTATTTCCGCCCTCAGCGGTAGGGTATTTCGCAGTTCCGGTGGGCGCTGGTGAGCTTTGGTCGAGCGTGACTGGTGCGAATTCGTCCGCTGCGTCGCCACCCGGGCCTGATACTTGAACTAGACCTGAAGATATAGGTATAGGCACAACGACTGGAGACGGAGCTTGACTGGCAGCAGCTGTCGAAGAGGTGGGTATGGATGTTGTAGAAGAAGACTTGACTTGACTAGCAGCAGCTGTCGAAAAGGTAGGTAGGGGGGCTTCAGAAGGAAATGGCGCTTGAATCGCAGTAGAAGATGATGATGGCATAGCCGCCACTGTTCGCATGTTGGCTGTGGATTGGACGTCGGAAATAGTCGACGTGCTTGCGCTAAGTTTGGGTGACGGCGTAGATGAGAACGATAGTGCATCAGTTGAGGACTGCAGGTCATTGGGAGGGTTTCCACCAATGTTGAACAATCTTGACATAGTCTCCGCAGGCTGCACAGCGGCGGCCTCATGAGTCTCGCTGTTCAACTTTCCACCATCAACAAGTGCTGATGTACTCACAGGAGTTGCTCCACTACCCACGTCGGAGTGCTCTGACGGACTTGTTGTAGATGAGGTTGACGGGAGAGTCGCTGACGTTGATAGAACTTGGCTTAGCGCATCTACAGTGAGAGCATCTGTAGTAGGGCTACTGCTGGACGCTACATTAGGTGTCAATGGCGTCGCTATAGATTTTGTTGAGGAAGTGACAACGAAAGCTGAGGTTTCTGGGCTGGCGGCGATCGAAGGTACTATTGATGAGGAAGATATCGGTATTGGCGTCGAGGTTTGAATGTCGGCAGGAATCGAAGGTATCTCTGTATGATTGAGGAATCGGGCGAAGTTATGAGGCCTTGGGTTCTGTCAGCGCAAGATTACGAGCACAGCTCGAGCATGTCTGTACTTACTGCACGCGAGCCCCATTGTGTCGGAGAGGTCCAGTCGCAGCAAAATTAGCACATACTGCCAGCAGTACTATTATTCGGATGTGCATAATGGAATCCAAGGAATGTGAGAGCAGATGAGCAGAAGTCTGTTCAACCCAGAGCTATTAAGATAGGAGTACAAAGGGCTCGCTGTTGTATTAAATGAAAGTGGCAATTCTAGATGTGAGAAACCCAGGAAATGCAGAGCAGACAGAGACGACACAAGGAAATCTAGAAATCGCAAGGCAGACCGTAGATGAGACCAGAAAGAAGGCGAAGGTTCCTGCAACATTCACAAGGAATGCGCAACACAAGAGCCATATAATGAGAGGCCATGAGATTGCGATACTCTTGAAACACTGAATGCCAGGGTAGACAGCGTGTATGAGAGGATACGAGAGCGTCTCAGCAATGGAAGGGTTTTAGTCAGCGGTTGCTGTGACGTGGACAAGAATGGCAGGGCTATCTTCATCTCGAAGCAGCTTAATTTAGCCAGTCTGAGGTTTCGTATGTTGTTGAAGGAGGTAGGTCTGCTGACTGGTAGTTGATGTTTTGAAAAAGCTGGGCGGCTGTTGTTTGATGTCGAGGCTGTCCAAGACGCGTTTCATTGATGTGATTGGCTGTTACTTCTATACCACGAATAGACTTCCTTTGAACGTTTAAACTCGGCACTTTCAGCGGACGCTCCCGTGGGTCTTGGCATTGAGAGCATCGAACAGCGCCACATATAGCCTCCAGCCACTGAAACTTCAAACTCTGGGGTAGCTTGAGCCGTTGTGCAGGACCGTCATTCGATATTACCAAGGACTTGTATGAGGAGTACTCGTCATTGGATTCTCGCATCTTGCCAAGAGGTACTCTAAGGGCTGAAGACCTCAAAATTCTGCCATGTAATGAAGTATCTAAAAAATGTCCGGACCTCATGCAGACCTGTTTGGCATTTGAAGCGTTGGCCACTTAAGAGCGCTGGCCCATAGATGGACCCTCCCCATCATGCTCGAGAAGAATAGCCCTCATGCCCTCGACGTTCGCTTCCACATCTTCGCCCTCATTCTCTCGGGGAAGAGGTTCGCTTGCTTCACCCGCCACTCGTCCCGTCTGATGGTGCCGGGTGCGTTTACAGTCCCGGCAGACAGCATGAGGCCCAAGCAGACTCGGAAGCTTATTGGGAGTCAAGGAGCGATGGAGAATTCGCAAGACAACGATGGTACTGTACGTGCCCTGTTAGCTTGCTGCCGATCAGAGTAAGATATGCAGTCCTTGATTAACAATTACGCGCACCCGATCTAGGGAAAAGTATTAAAGGTCAAGAGAATCAATTTGCCGTTATGGGTCCACGTAGGTGTTCAGATCGCCGAGAATGATTTCGTTCGTGACGAGAAGGAAGCCGATGCCCTTTAAGACTTTATACGCTCGATAACCAATGTATTGGACATAATAGCGACCTAGTAGCTTAGAACATGAATTTTGTCAGAGGTGATGCGGCTTCCCAGCCTTCCACGATCTTTTCCACACACCCGTCCCTTCGTCTTATTGAACCCAAGCCGTAGCTAACTTGACTTCAGACCGCTTCCACCGTATGCATGTTGAAGCTCACAAATCTTCACCAGGCGCTTCCGAGTGCCCTTTCCTTGCCAATAGCAAACCATGCCCCTACCCAGCGCTCAATGCACCCGGGCTGTATTTCTCCAGTAACCCTCATCTTCGAACTTGCCTCCTCGGTCTTCGGTGTCTCAAACTCCAGGTTTTTGCCTTCCTCAGCAAGCTTCTCATAGAACACCAGCAGCTTAGCCGCTGGGTTAACTTTGAGCATCGCCTCAATGTCTGCACTGCCGACCGCTTCAGCATCTGCGCGAACTTTCTGGAGCCAAGCTTGGAATGGCACTGTGTTGATCTTATTTGTTCTGGCATTTGAATGACTGAGGGTGTTGACAATGGCTGGAAGGAGGGATTCCCAAGCTACAGGATGTGGATTCAACGGATGAAAGACACGTGCTTTGCCGGGTTCCTCAGGTTGTAGTAGCGTCGGAGCCTCCTGCAGTTCAGCATTGACAGTCAAATCCACAAGCACCTCGGCAAGAAGATCAATAGGAACCGAGTCGATCTTGTCTTGGCTTACCCTAGCGAATCAGGCACAGCGCCGACATGAAGCGAGCTAAAAACGAGGCTAGGCAGCCACTTCGACTAGTTCCAGATGCCTTGGCCTTTTACTGGCCCTGCGATTTGCCCGACCCGCGCGATGCGAGGATCGATGGAGAGTCTCTTGGAGGCATAGTCGAGAAGGAGCTCCGCGAGATACTTACTTTCTCCGTATCCCATGGGTGATGGGGCTTTGTTGTCTGAGATGATCTCCTCGCGGATCGAAGGGGTACTGCCGTGGTAGCCAAGGACGGAGCTTATGGAAGAGACGAAGAAGGCAACTGGAAAGTGAGCTGCTGAGACAGCGAACTCGGAAAGCCGAGTTATTCCAAGAAGTTGCGGCCCGAACGCAGACAATGGGAGGTTGAGTTTGACGGGCCACGCACTGTGGATGACCGCAGTGGCTTGAGTCAACAAAGCCCCGTACGTCTTACGCTCGAGGCCGAAATTCTGTTGCGACATGTCTGCAGTCAAGAAGGTCACTCGATTTGAGGGATAATCACTCGTGGTCCTGCGGATATTGTTTCGCTGTGATCGAGTAGATGAAGAATCCAACGCTCTATCTAGACGGTAGTCATGCGATACAGATGAGGAATTGGAGAGCACCTGGAGCAGATATAAACCCAATGCACCTGTTGACCCAGTCAAAATCACGGTATGGTTCTTGTTTCCCGCAATCCGAGCGGCACTTGACTTAGTTGGTTCTGTCTGCAAGTCGTTCACGAGGTTGTCGATCGAATTTTTGTGCTCCTGAAAGATCGCATCAATCACTTGCTGACGTGCCTGCTGATAAAAAATCTGTGATTGCCGACTCATGGCCGAGAGCTCTGATATTGCACTGGCGAGCGAAGATACTGTAGGGTTAGTGTACACTGCTGACAGCAATCTCCGGATCGGCCAAAACTTGTTTCAGATCACGTGTGATGAGGAGTGCTTGCAGGGAGTGTATGCCTAGCAGGAACAAATTGTCTCCATCTCCGAATTGAGTCCAACCGGTGCGTTTAGTGATCGTCTCGCGTATGAATGAAGAGGTATTTTCAGGGCCGTGTACATCGATAAGCTGTTTGGCATCTGTTGAAGGGGGAACAGTGAATTTCTCCGCGTCAGCATATAAAGCTTGTAGCTCTTCTGCGTATAGGCTTAGAGTTGGCCTTCGTTGCACAGCGCCTTTCCCTGCTCTCAACATAGGCTTGTTGGTATTCACGAAAAGAATGTGTGATTTGTCTATCATAGCATAAGTAGGGCAATCTTTGTTTGCTCCTTGGATCGTTGGCCATATGCGCTGAAGGGTCTCTGCACGTTCGGCAGCTGAAAGAGCCTTCTCAGCCGCGAGTTCGATGAGGAGGGCAGCTTGCAACCTTTGAGCACCGGCGACTAACGCTGCGCGAACTTCAAGATGGCTGTTAATGCGTTCTTCCATAGGGGGTGGGATTGGTCTTCTCCCCTTTTAGGAAGATTATAATGTCGTCGGACCTGCCTTGATGTTTCCAAAGCCCGGGCTTGGATGGATGAGGTGAGAAGAGATCCCCGCTAGGGAATCTCTGGAGGTCAGGGTACAATTTGAAAACAGGTTGCCAGGATTCGAACTTTGGATTTCTGACTATGCACAGTTCGTGTAGATCATCCGAATGGTGCTCGAACTCGACTCCAGTATCTGGATGGATAACCGCGTATTTCCAGTCTTCGCGTGGCCACGCACCCTCTGGTCGAATCGAGGGAGGAGATCCCATCTCTGAAGCCCCGTATATGTCCACTAGCTGCATCCTGCATGCAACAGGATGACCAAAAGCTTGAGGTACATCTCCGCCAGCGTAGAGTAGGGTTTCTAGTCTTTCGGCGACGAAAGTCCAACATGGCACTGTCCTTGCCAATTTCTGCTATAATAGTTGGAGGAACAACAGCAATGTCCGCCGTTGTGTGTTTGAGTGCGTCCACCATGACCTGTGCCGTCGGGATCGCTGCTGCAAGCGGATAGATTATGGTTGTTCCATTGATAATCGCGTTGCATGAGGTTGTGCAGTGATTTGCAGCATGGAAAGGAGGCAGCATGAACAACAGTCTGTTTGCTTGGAAGAGTCTGTCCTGAGACTTGTATCCAGATGGCGGATCCAGATGTGTCATCTTAATGTATGCCGCCGCAAAGGCATGGGACCAGACGATCGGCTTCGGAAGACCAGTAGATCCTGATTTATGGAAGGCAAGGAGAGGTTCATGGCTGGCTTCGTCGAAAATTTTTGTGTAGGGATAATGAGGATGTCTCTTGCTGATCAGTTCATCAAGGTTTGAAACTCCAGCGAGACGAAGCTTGTGAGCAGCCGTAAGCGCGGAGCGCATCGGTGGCTGCGGATTCGGTGCAAGCAAGACGGTACAGTCAAGAATGGTGAACAGCTTGATATGAGCTGGATGGCTATTGCGAAGGTTAAGTAAGGAGCATCTGATACTCAAACCAGGGTTAGCACCCCCTGCTATATCTTTCGCTTCAAGCTTCAACTAACCTTGTATCCGGCCTTGACAGCTCCTAATATTAGAACATTGTACCTCAGATCATTCGGACCTATGTAGGCCAAGGTGTCAAAACTCTTTGATCGACCAAGTGTCTTCTCCAACCACCACCATGCAGCACCGTTAACGGCATTGGTCAAGTCTTCATAGGTGATCTTTCTGTACCCTTCCTCATAACCAGTGGTCGAAACAGGAAATTTCTGCGTACAAAGCTCGAGGTGTCCGCTCAGCTCTGGAATCGACGATGTTGTTCAAAATTTCTGGGAGCAGTCTCCCCACCAATTTCGCGAGTAGTCATGATTTTCAGTTGTTTGGTCCGCTGTTCGTCTGTCAATCGCGAAGACGCTGAGTGCGAACTCTAAACTGTCACCGAGCAAGATGCAGAGACGTTCGGGGTCGTGCAAGCAAGGTTGGCCAATACCTAGAACAGAGATTCCTACGATTGACTGTGATAGAGGTCCACTCGAAGCATGTGTTGTCGAGGAGCTGGGTTTGTTCGTGGCTGAATTTGAACTTTCCGATCTTGAGAAAGCGTACCGAATCAAATTCCCATCCTTGCACCAGACATGGAGGAATCACATGAGGACGGAGACTGGTTTAGATTTCGGAACCAAACGCGGTAACGTAAAGCGCCATTCGGTATTCGTCGACAAGCGCTCCTAGGCAAGACTACAAGGCTGATACTCAGCCAATCTAAGGTACTGGCCTATTGCTCAGACACGCAATCAGATGGTGTTCTTGAACCATGTGTGTTGCACTCTATCAGTGTGGGCGGGATTCCCAGTAAGACAGAGGAACGCAGAGTCCATAAGAATTGTTGTACTTCAAGAATGCCTCACATCCTGGTTCATACGAGTACATCATGTCTGCGCATGCAATCGACCTAGTTTTCAAGTGGCAAACCCTTGGGAACACGCCCACGCTGACCGGACCCTCGGGAGTATACTTTAAGTAGAAGTTATACCAATGAGTGGTCCCAGTTGCTCCGACGGGCCGGCGGGTCCGTCCATTCCTTCTTGGTTCCCGGAATTGATCCCCACAGATAAGCAAAAGGGCAAGGCGATCCGAGTGTACATATATCTCATGCGAGGGTCCAGCACTACTCGTGCGGCCGAGAAGTCTAAGACCTTGGCAGTCCGGCTTGGATATACCTTTCCCACCAATTCAACTGTTCACTGAGGGTACAAGAATGGGCATCGGTTGGTGGGTACTATACTTCCGTGCCAAGAGCTTAGACCTTTCGGTCTCACTTTGGGTGTTCTGGCAATAGGTTAGTCAAGTATCCTTACGTATAGATTGCAAAAACTCGCAGACTGACGCATATCTAAATAGCCATGACAAAACTCGGTGGTGTAGGAAGGCATCTCCTGGCGCTCGAAGCTACAGACCCTAAAGAAGTCGTGAATTGGGCCAAGCTCCTTATGGCTGTCGAATGGATCTATCTCGTGACGGTGACCTTGCCAAAACTCTCCATCTTGAGCATGTACCTCGGAATATTCACCCAAAATCGTATCGAAGGATTGTATATGTCCTAGCTGTTACTTTGATCAATAAGGCCTCACTATCGCTCGGATGTCAGCCACTGGCTTTTTTCTGGGATCTCATCATACCTGGCGGTCATTGCATCGACATCAACGCATTTTTCAGGTGGTTCAGTCTACCCAACATCCTCACGGATGTAGCGATGCTCGTTCCACCTCAAGCACTCGTATGGACGCTCAAAGTCACAAGACACCAGAAAATAGGACTGACATTGACATTCTTGACTGGTTCTGTCGGATTGATAACCTCAATATTTTGCTTTGCGACCTTCTTTCGGAACGATGCTATAACTGATAGTACTTTCTCGTCTGTGGAACTCATGTCATGGACCATTATCAAACCAGGCATCTACCTTATTGCAGCTTGCTTACCAGCGCTAGGTCCGCTCGCTCAACGCATCTTCAAAGACAGCCTTCTCACCCGTCTCAGCACGACGTGGATGCCTAAGTACGGTGACAGATTTTACGAGCGCAGCACGGTGAATATCAAGCTCGAGAAACACAGAAGCGTTAGGTCTGAAGTCCATCGCCCTCAGCAATGCTTTCATCGTCTAACCGATGGCAGGGAGAGCATTGGTAAAAGCAGTGGGGATGAGAGAAGTCTGGTGGACAATTACGGGAGCGCGAGGGACAATGTCAGTCAATTTGCTCGGAATGACTGCGGTTCCGATCTAAAGGCGCAGCACATTCGTGTTGAGAACGACATTGTGGTCACCACATCTGATTCTCTTGCTTGAAGACGCCAAGAAATCAAGAGGAAGATTTGATTTCTAGGTCGCTTTGGATGGACTGTCACACACAAGACTACGCCCAAATATCACATGATTTGTACAGCCCAGGACAAATAGGCAACATCATTACGAGGATCTGGTCTGGCAGCAAAGAGTGGCTGACAGCCAATTGGGCTAGCTTTGTGACCTTACAGGCCTACAAACACGGTTCTAAGATGGGGAGTGCACAGCTCGCTGAGAACGACACTTGTACTTTTAGCTAACTCGTCGTTTGAGCCCCAGATGTGTGCCGTGGGTACTTGGATTAGCTCTCCCTCTGTTACCCCTCTTTTCCATATTGCACCTTGTGGCCGCAGGGCCGAAAGGTACCTCACCAGAGAGGAAAATGGCACACTTGAAAGGTGGATCAGGGTTGGGTCCTTGCGGGAAATCATCCAGGCGAACATGGTATCAAGAGTTGGTCAACTCCCATTTCCTGTCCATTAAAGTGTCTGCTCAACGCCAACTAAGATGCTTTGTTCGCAGATATGTCGTACGAAGACTGGAGAGCAGGTACTGACTCAAAGATGCATTGTTCATGGAACCTTCACATGCTCCTGCCAAAGAACATATACCTTTTCATCCTGCTTTCCTCGATATGTGGCATAGCAGGACAGGGAGGACAAGCCGACTACGCAGCCGGAACACATACAAAGACACCCTCGCACACTACCGCATCGCACAAAGGGGAAAAGCAGTCTCTATAGATCTCCGCGTCATGGTTTCCGAGGGTTTCCTGAGTGAGAACAAATTCCCTCTACAACGTATGCTGGACTCAGGTCCCCACGTTCCACTGAAACAAACCGAACCTTTCGCCCTTCCCGACTATCTTTGCGACCCAGAACTAGACACCCTGACGACGCAAACGTGCCAAACCGTGTGGGTATCGAGACCCCTGCGAGCCTGCGCGCAAAAGGGGTTGAAGAGGCGCTTTGGATGCGCACACCTTTACTTCGCCATATGTATCAGGTCAATAGCGATCAGAAGCTCTCGGTGGGAAACTCCAAAGACTTCATCGATTATAGAGGTCTGTTTGCAAGCGCCGGCTCTCTTTCTAAGGCCGGTTCCATCGTTCTGCAGGCTCTGATCAAGAGATTGTCACAAAGTCTTTCGACGTCAAAAGAAGGAATCGACACGAACAAGTCACTACACTCATATGGGTGGATTCGTTGTTAGCGATCGAGCTGAAGACATGGATCGCAGAGGGGTTTGCGGCGGAAATACCTATTTTTGAGATTTTGGGGAGAGCGACGGCCGCAGCAATGGGGATGACAACTGCAAGGAATAGTCGGTTGATGCAGGGGGTCAGTATATAGTTGCCTACTGGGAGCGCAATATCGGCCCAACGGACTTCTTCTTGCACCTACACGTACTGCAAGTTAAATTTGGAATGAGAATGTGGGTTCAATGGCAGGAGGCTGTGCGGCTATTTTTGGTGCGATGATGCGTCACAATGTGTATCGAATGGATGATCAAATATATTTTCGGTATCAGCAATGTACAAAATACATGTATAGTACATGGTGGTCTTGAAGGACCAGCTGCCTCGGCCTTCTTTTCAAATGGACCGGCTAAGGCCAATTCCGACCTCGGTTGCCTCATGTGACTGCCCGCAAAAGGGGGCGGCCGCTCGGCGCTAAGATTAAAGGCAAAAGATCTTCTTCGACTGGGCCCCACGCTGCTGCACTTGATCATGGTATTGGCCATTAAATTGCCGAATGCTTCACTCTTGACTAGGTACCGCATATGTGTCTTAGTACTTGAGATAAGCGAGACAAAACGATTGGGTATTCTCAAGTCAACTTTGACAGATGAGGCAGCTGCATGATGCTGTCGTTGCCACATTCCAGGAATCAAAATAACCCCAAGCCACCACGCCTGCACGTGTTGAGAGCTCACTGTGAAAGAGTGGCTCTCTTGTCCGAGCCTGGACCGTTGCGCTTGCGCAGGAGGTGGCATACTGCTCATTTTCTCTCTTACGCCGCCTCTACCGAAGAGCCTTAAATGCCTAATTGAATTAAGCAATACCTCCCCTTAAAAGTCCGAAGTATACCTTCATTCTCACGACCGCCTTTCTTCTTCAATTTCTCAATATCCTACACATACAGGATGCGTCTCTTACCTTCCCTTATTCTCGCCTTTGGCATTTCTTCCTCCGTACAAGCAGCGCTATCTGGATATGCTCCTGTTCCAGCAACCTGTCCCAGTACCCCCTTGGTTCGCACTGCAACAGGCATCTCCGCCTCTGAGTCATCATACATTTCATCTCGCGCCCCAGTTGCGTCCGCAGCGCTTGGTGCATGGCTCACAAAGGTGAACTCGGCGTTCTGCACAGCAAATCTGCCAGCAGTAGCCCTCACCACCAGCGGAGGTGGACTGCGCTCTCTCCTCACGGGTGCCGGCGTTATCCAAGCTTTGGACTCACGGGATAGTAATGCTGGCACAAGTGGTCTCTACCAGGGGCTTACCTACCAGGCCGGTCTTTCCGGGGGAGGGTGGCTCCTGTCATCTTTCGCTGGTAACAATTACCCTACCATCTCAAACCTAGAAACTACCCTTTGGACGACTGCGTTTGCCGACAGCCTTCTCGTGCCAGAGAACTTGGAGGCTGGAGGTGCTTATGCTCAGACCTCAGCCGACGTTGTTGCCAAGAACGCAGCTGGCTACCCGCCTACTATTGTCGATGTGTACGGAAGACTCTTGGCATACCAACTTCTGAAGGGTACCGATGGGGGCGTTGCCATTGAACTGTCGTCCATCACTGGCTTCTCCAACTTTACCGACCACAATGTGCCATTCCCAATCATCACCAGCTTGAATGTCGAGACAGCCACTGGAGTCTGCACTCCTCCAAACAACACAGTCATCTTCGAGTTCTCGCCATACGAGTTTGGAAGCTTCGATTCCGGCATCAACGCTTTTACGCAGACGAAGTATCTCGGAACATCCCTCTCGAATGGTTCTCCCACCAATACAACCTGCGAGACCAACTACGACAACCTTGGTACTATACCTTCCTCTTGTCCCACCCCGAACAAATAGCTAACGTTCCCAGGATACATTCTCGGCACCTCCTCCGACATCTTCAACGAACTCTGCACCACATTCCCCCTTGTCGCCGACGTCCCCGGCATCCTCGCCAACATTTCCGCCATCGTAGCACAGACCCACGACCTGACATTTATGGATGAATACGCGACCTACCCCAACCCCTTTTATAAGTACACCCACTCCACCCTCGTGCAGGCCCAACCCGAACTTACCCTCGTCGACGGCGGCGAATCCCACCAAAACAACCCCCTCTTCCCCCTCCTCGAGCCCGCCCGCAGCGTCGGCGTCATCCTGGTAAACGACAACTCCGCGGACACCAGCGGCAATTTCCCGGACGGTAGCGAACTCTACCAAACGTACACGCAAGCGCAACTCGCGGGCCTGACCAAGATGCCCGTCATACCGCCCGCGGCAACGTTCCTCGGCGAAGGCTTGAACCAAAAGCCCACGTTCTTCGGATGCAACGACGCGAGCAAGATCACAATTGTGTATCTGCCGAACTACAATTACACCTTCCCCAGCGGCGAAAGTACGGCGAAGCTGGAGTATTCTCCTTCCGAGACGAGTGGCATGATTGCGAACGGAGGCGAGGTGGCGACGATGGGGGGAAACGCGACGTTTCCTACGTGCTTGGCTTGTGCGATTGTGAAGAAGACGGGAGATGCGCTGCCGGCTGCTTGTACGAGCTGCTTCAGTACGTTTTGCTATAATTGATAATGTCGCGATCTGTTGTTTCGAGTAGATAATTGAAGAGACATGTCTTGATTTTAGTCCACAACAAAGATCCGTGCTGGTTTTTGTGACTCCATTTGACCAGATTGCCGTGGCTCGTTCACCTACAAGTGCACTAAATGTGGGCGAGAGAGATGCCAATACGGCTGACTTGCCCGGAGGTTTTGTGCGCGGTCTTGCTCAGAGTTCCAACGCAGACTGGGAGCAGCGAGCGAGACGTTGATCAAATCCTACGGGTCTAAGGCAAGATGAGGCAAGTTAAGCGAGGTGTGCAACGGTCAGGGACTGCTAAGCCCGATGGGGTGTTGCAGATGTGACTAGGGGAAGCTAAGCAGAGAAAGACCCGCCGACTAGAGACAGGTTACAGCGGTCCAGCCGTTAGCGCACAGGGGGAATAGTACGGCATACCTACCTCATCGGAAGAGGCCACTGGTCATAGGGATTGAAATGGAGGATTCGAATGACCTCCACGATGTCTTTGAATTTGCTTTGGGTGTACGACTAACAACGGCTCTTAGGTCCAGGAGACAATCGGCTCTCCGGTCCAGAAAATAGTCCATGAAAAGACGAGATTCTCAAGGCTCATTATCCGCATATCGCTCGCTTCTTTCATCTTCTGGTATTACCTCCAAAGCTCGTCTCTTCCGTTCGAGCTTTGCGACCCACAATGCAGACCCTGCAGCTGTCGTGAGGAGAAACAGCATACTCAATACAGGCACCAGCTGTAGCAGCAATGCCATAGTCCCGAACCACGTGTACCGCAGCCGTCTCTTCCTGATGAATGCGTCTTTCTCTTTCTTTGTGAAATCCAGCAACTTGAAGTACCTCCAGTGTTGCAGCGGCCCCGCGCGATACCCAGTCATGATCAGGAACATGGGCGTCCCCGCCACCGGGATCAAATTGAGAGGTAGGAAGATGATGAATTCGGCGATCTGCCGGAAGGAGAAGGGCGAGTAGATAGCGGACGTCGTGGGTTTGCCGAGCTGCTTGACAGGGTCTGAGCCATCGGGGTCGAGGACGCGAGAAGACGCGATCAGGTCCGTGTAGCCTTGTTTGATGAGGACGGCGTCGAAGACGTCGACGAGGGTTTCGTCGACGAAGAAGGCTTCGAAGAGAAGGGACACGATGGCGGCCCCCTCACCCAGAACGAGGAACGTGGCATTCAGCCATGCCAGATGGCCGTGGAAGACTGCTAGGAGAGCGACCTGGGTCTGGATCAGCACATGTCCCCTCAATCGTGGTGATTGGACGGGTACCTGGGGGAGATATGTCCATAGGAAAAGGTTGGTGAGAACGAAGAGTGACAGGAGAGCGCTTGGGAGGAGCCGGGCGCGAAGGAGCGGCCACAGGAACGGATGGGCGCAGAAGTAATAGATGCCCTGTAGCTAGCATGTCAGCAGTGTCAACAGATCGGCTGAGGTTACGTAGTATTTATTCTTGCCTTGAAAGGATAGAGCCACGAGGCGTTAGACACAGCCCTGGCCGGCGCAGTGATGACACGCAGCGTGGAGCTGCGCTTCGAGGATTCGGTCATGGCCGAGCTGAGGTCATGGTTACTGCATCCCGCAAAGACTTTGCAGCGATAATGTCTGCGATTCCGGTAAAAAGATATTCACCTTTCGTGAGTAATTAATGATCAACACAGCCTGGTGCCTGGCGCCAGTGCCAAGAGTTCTTATCTTATCTATAAAGCCGCGCAATCTAGCTGAAAGCGTCTACCTTGATCCATCCATCCATCCCCAGGACACTGTTCGACTGCCATTGCGGCCTATCATCATGGATCTTCCCCTGGAAAAAAGTAGAGCGGAGTCCTACACAAGCCCAGATGAACAAAGAACTTCACCGGCCTACACTAGAGCTCTCAAAGACGCTTCTCCAACCGCTGTCCAGAACCTGGCTTCGAGCACAAGCTCGCCATATGGCCCGTGGAGCATGTCGTGAATGTTGATTCTGAAGCTTCTGTTGAAGACCAGAGTATGCAAAGAGAGCCTAGAACTCAAGAATTGTCCAACCCGATGGTCTGGGCGTTTACAGCAGAGCCAACTTCGGCTCCGAGGCAGACCACTCATGGGCCAGACATAGTTCTTCTTACCTAGCAGGAGGAGACTGGATCAGACTCCCGTTGACTATGTTGCAGCACTCCTCATTTGGAAGAAGCCTTGCAGTGACAGATGAGCCGAGGGAGGTGTCTGAAACCGTTATTGATGAACAGCCAACCAGATTTTGAGAGCCAATTTCAGTCTTTTCATTATCTACAGCACTTGGAAAATGATGGAGAGGGTCTATGTACGACCGGTACCGAATAGTTTTAAAGATGCTTGGGTCAATAGAGTCAGTGCGCGAATTTCAATGGCCTTGCTCCTCAAAAGCGTCTCATCCATGCGAAACTAATATTGTCTCACCACAGTGGTTTGGGCGAATCTCGACTTCAGTCCTTGCCAGAGAGTCCAAAGATTGCCTCGAAATCATTTCCGTCTTCAATCGTCGCCTGGAACTGCCGCTTGTAGGAGTCCGGAGGTGGACGCATCATATTTGACGGCAGTTCGCGGTCCCCATCTTCCCGACTCAGGTCATTCAAGGAATGACCCAAGCTCTGTATATCCCACGGTAGCGTCTCGGAAGCTTGCTCTGGTGTCTTAGGGACCAGCCACTCGTCGAACACATCCTGCAATCCTGGCGAGGTCGTTGTTGGTGACTCTTCAGGCTGCTGTTGCACTCTTCTGGAATCCCACGCATTTGCGATAGTCTCGTAGTCGATCTCCAAGGGAATCGTCTGCAGAGGGGTTAACAAATCTTCGACAAAGTCCAACGTGCGCCTACTTGTGATTGGATCACCAGGACTCAAATCGGAGATTCCCTCGTCCATCATGGTGTACTCCTCCAGTGCCGCTCCATCGGATTCCCCAACTGCTTGTTGCTCCTTAGAAAGATCTGCTAGAGCCACTAATCTCTGCGCATTATTCCTCACTTCTGGAGCCGCTACTTTGAGAGTGATGATCAAAGTGCGCTGTTCTATTGGTTTCTCTTGGACGTCTTTCTCATCACCGCCCGCAACAGAACTTTGTAAATTCCCATCCTGCTCCCGCGCTGCCTCTCCGTCGTCCAAAATCTCGGGTCCGAACGTCTCTTGGCCTCGCATTGCCGGTACTCCGTTGACGACGTTAGGTTGCAAGGATGTAACACGCCGAGAGCTCGCATAACCACGATGTCGAGTCTCTGGAGCTGGGTGAGGATTGAAGAACTGCACGTTATCATAGTGCTGGTGCACTGTTGTCGCGTTGCAGCCTGGGAAGGGACAGTCGATAGGAATTCTGTGATCACGGGAAGACAAGCCCAACGAGCTTGAGCGACGTGTTTCTCGACTTGATAGCTCCTCGCGAGTGCGGATCGGCTGTGGTCGGGTCATAGGGCTCCTCGAACGAGTGCGGTGCTCCATGCTGACGTTCTTCTTTCTTGATGGGGCCATAGCCCTTGTTCCTGAGTGCTATGCCGAGGATTGAAATGGTTGCAGACTGAGATTGACCTTTGGACAGAACCTTTGGAGTCGAACGGGGAACTGTATGCTCGAAGATCGAGGACGATGAAAGAAAACCCTTCGATGAGAGGAACCTGCAGACATAGACCCACGGATGTGCCAAAAGTACGATGTGTCGAGCAGAAGCGAGTGTCGAAGCTTCATGTTGCCCAGCATTGTGTCGGAGCGAGACAATGGCATTGTCCCAGCCTTCGATTTCGGTCACATTGCCAGCTCTTTGTGCGGTCTCATCGGACAAGCCACTGAACGCTCAAACGACTGATACCATGGACACAGCGGTTCTCTTACTGGTCTCTAAGAAATGGCGATCTGTCATTGTTAATCGCCGGACTCGCAAATGATACTCGGGCGTGGAGGCGAGATGGGAACAACGCAAACGGAGACATTGTACACGCTTCAGGAGATGAGTGGAGGTTGCGCATCAACCGCTACATCTCTCCCAGAAGAGAAATCATGAGCTAGAATCTCTGCTGTGAGCTTTGACTAACATCATCCCCTTAGTACAAGCTAATGCTACCAATAGAAAAGGTTGATGTCATCTTCGTACCAGGAGGCCCAACCTTCTAGTTATTATTCTGTCATGTTTCAGCCTCCTTAGGTGCAGAGTTGCCCAATGAATGCGAACTTCAATGCTGCTATTTCAGTACCCTTTGACTTTTATGAGCACAGTCCGAAATTAGAGACCTCATGTCAGCTGAGCTTTAAGGTGCTCCTGGGTCTGGGAAGCACTTTAGACCGGGGCACCTTTTTCGCTCCATCATGGCGGGATGCCTCGGAGCACCAGTAAGACACTACTCGGAACTAACGGCCAGTGATTTACATGGCTGCCACCTACATCAAGGATCAATTTTGACAAGATGTCTTCTGCTCTTCTTTGTTCAAGTCCTCGCGAAAGTCTTTCACATTTCGATGTCACAGGCTTCATGACCGTTTCTTTGTTTATCTCCCCTTATAAAGAAAGCTCCATTGTTTCACATCCTACCACTACGCTGCAATGAAGCAGATAATACAATCGACTTTTTGCCTCCAGACCCATGTCGATTAGTCTTTGTTTCGGATTCCAGTTGATTTCATAGCATTGCGATCCCAGGCTCAATTCATGACTCGAAAATTTTCTCTACTTCTCCATCAAACCAAATCAAAGAACAGTACCTACACAAATATTTCACACAACGGAAACAGTGATATGGAAATCCTTCTCGCCGCTTTGCTTCTGCTTCCCAGCGCGCTCTCCCTACCTGCCTCTTCACATACCAACACTAGCGCCACAGCTCCGTGTGTATCACATGTCCCCCAAAATGCCGTCGACGCCGACCTGGTGATCACAATATGGAATCAGACCAACTGTAAGGGATCAGCTGGCACATCGTACCCATTTGTCTATGACCGAAACTCCTATCAAGATTCGTTTTTCAAATCATATACCTTAAGTCGTACGTATTGTCTCCATCTCTCTTCTCCCTCCTCACATTGCTTCTGAGTTCTTGCAACATGCCACGGGAGCGAAAATATAGCTTGTTACACATCGATCTTGAAAAATCTCGTAATTCGCTCTCTTATATCAAAGACGCAATGCTGACCCAAACCCTTCCAGGTGTTCTGCACTCCAACGAAAGGATCGACTTCAGTAGGCCTCCATCGCAAGGCGAGACTACCGGAGAATGTCAGCGACAGTGCGGAATCTACAACGGTACCATAACGCTAGCGAACGCAATGGACGTTTCTCGAAATGGCACTTGCTACGAGGCTCTGAGTGATGTTTCTTGCTTTAGGCTATCTACATTCGCTCTTACGAGCGCCAGTTCAGCGGCTGCAGCTACTGATAATTTTTCAAGCTCCTTCACGACGTCAACCAAGAAATCGCCCATCTCTAGCACTTCAAAACCCTCTCAGAATACCACAACCCATGGATCGCTTGTCTCTGGCACCGCAACAAGTCCGACGATCACATCGACCAGTAGGGTGTTTGTCACTGGCATTCCCAGAAGCTCTCACAATGGGACAGCTAATGGAATGCTTGTGTCTAGCACTCCAATGAACTCTGGGGCCACACCGAGTACTTCAACGTCTCAAGTCAGCACTCCTGAAAGCTCGAGGACCAGTTTGGAGCTTAGCACTCCAGTAAGCTCTAAGACCACATCGAGTACTCCAATGTCGGAGGCCAGCGCTCCAGCAAGCTCCGGTGCCAGATCAGCCTCTTCCTCGTCGATGCTTAGCATTCCAACAAGCTTCGAGATCACGTCGGCTACTCCTGCCTCCAGGCTTAACACTCCAGCAAGCTCTAGGACCGTTTCTCCTACTCCCACCTCCACTTCTATCACTCTAGCAAGCTCGGGTACTAGATCGAGTACTTCAACGTCAGATGTTAACACTCCTGCAACATCCAGTACCACGTCGATGTCCATCCCACACGCACTCTTTTCCGTTGTATCAAGCGTTGCCTCTAGTACCGCGTCGATCTCGATCCCACCAGCTCTCTTCTCCGTTGTATCAAGGATCACTGGCATCTCAATCGATACCACATCTACCCCAAAAGAACCAGCGAGTTCTAGTAATACGTCGACACCCGCCCCTTCCTTGACGACTCCTTCTCCGGCACCAACAACAACCTTTTAAAAACCCGGCAGGTATTTCAGGCGGTGGAAGCGGAACTCCCCTCGAACCGGCCTCGGAGTATCCCTGCCCCATACTCGCATGCCTTATACTACATACTACTCCAGTGTGTGTCAATTTAGTGCCCAGCACCGCACCTTCGAGATTTAGCACAGACCAAAGCTCTGAACATAGCGATGCGTCTACAGCTCAAGCAAACGAGAAAGGTCGAAGGCGAGGAGCGGTCGGAAAGGTGATGTAGATGAGCTCTGACACTTTGCACTCCTTTCTCGAATGATATTCCGTTTGACTCAATCAATGGTGGAAAGAGAGCTGATTATGGGATTTGGAAAAATTAGTGAGTATGTGTCTGAAGTGTCTAGGTAATCCTCGAGCAATGGAAGCAATCCAAAACGTACATACAGTATCTGCCCATTTCGCCACAATATCTCTCCACACCTCGTGACTCCCTCAATCTCTTCTGAGCTCAATTGAGCCCATGCCCAATAATCCGCCGAGATGGTTTTGCACCGTCACTCCTGATCCGCGACACAGGATAGCCGTGTACGTGATCAGCTACGTATCCGCATTCCCCAAAACGGTGGTCATAACAGAACATGTCGTACACGATATGCTTGGTCAGCCATCCAAAAAAGTCTCTAACCCTAATATCTTTGGCACAGCCTGTCGGCTCAAGAAAGTGATGGAAAGCCCAACGGCACAGAAATGGGACTCTACGTGAACGAGGTCTCAACGTCTCCATCGCTACAGTGAAGCAGAATCGAATTCACTTGTGAACCTCTAAGTTATGCCCGTATGATAGGAGAAGCAGATCCTTCAGGATCGAACCGTTCCCGGCATCGCTCCGCTCGCTCTAGTCTGTCGCAAATCCATGACTTCGTTGCCTCCTCCAATAAGCCTCCGCCTGCTCATCGTCATAGAGCTCCTCGTCACTCTTGTTGAAAGCCACCGGGACGAGCTCGCTGTCCGACGCCGGCTTGTAATACATGATTTCGCCCTCCAACCACGTCGCGAGATCTGACGTAGGCATGGGTTTCAGGATGCGCGTGTTCATGAATGGCAGCAGGGCCTGGCGCACCAGTGGTTCCGCCGCAGGAAGGCTGTTCATCAGCTGTTCTTCAAATGTCGGGCTGAAAAATCATCGATTAGCTTGGCGTCGAGAGGTGAGGACGCGTATCTTCGTAATCACGGGCTTACCTATAACCACCCAAGAAGATGCTGGGGTTTACGGTGATGTAAGGGTGATCTCGAAGATCGTTGCCGATGTAGAGTGCAGGGTGGGCGGCGTCGATGGCCGCAATGACCGGGTCTTGCTCGCCGCCCGGAGTGAACAGAAACGTGTCGGGAGTCATACAGTCGTCCGACGCAGGGGATTCGATCACCTTGAAACCTCTCCGCTCGAGGAACTCAATGTCGAGGGGGTTGAACGCCGGGTCCTGCATATACATCTGCTCGATAGGGTGTTTCGATTCTGGAGATGGCAACGCCGGTCAGTCCCTGCTCGACAGACCCCTACGGATGGTACTCACTAAGCAGTTCGACCCAGCTTTCGAAGGCTACCAACTGGGACAGTGAGTTGGTGCATGGAACATCGAAGTCCTCCAGACAGGGCCGTCCTGCCGCGATGCTGCCAAGGCATAGGCACATGCACGACTTGATTTGAAAGGTGTTGATTTTGAGTAAGACGTCGGTAAAGAACTCATGCAGCTCTCGGTAGGCCTCCGAGGCTTTCCACGCTTCTGTGAATCTCTCGTGCTTGGCCAGGAGGGTGTCGATGGTTGTTCCAGGGGCGGGCTCCCACACGGCCGAGGGTCGGCTTGTGTGGAATCGTGCTAACGATAGGGGTCGCATACCCTCAGTGATAGAGGTTGATCCGTCAAGACTTGGAGATGGACGTGCTGATGCTGATGGAGACTCAGATCGATCGGCATGGGAGTCAGGCTGAGACTCCAGGGACGCCATGTTTGTTCTGTGTACTCTGAGTATGGACCAAGCTTGCACGATGAAGTTCTTGTTCTCGGTAAGTGGCTATCTGCTAAAGACGAATCTTTTAAGTGGGACGTGCCAGGACGCTAGTATGCGGTGTTGAAGACTCAACGCTCTTTTGTGTTGACTGTCTGGAATCTTGAGAACAACAACATTGCTATTGGCCCATTTACCTTCTTTCCGATTTCTTGATATTGATTCTTCCCGGCGCATACACCGAGGCAATCCGCGATGTGACCCACGTTCTTCTCGTGGCCTCACCTCTCCCAATGGCGAACCCGAATGGATTCCAAACTTCCGCAGATGTATCCAGCAGACGGTCTATGCCAACGTCCATCAAGCTGTGAGCGATTGAACACTTCTTGACATATTATTCAGGATGAGAGACACTGTGCGCTGCCAATGATCGGTTCTTGTATAAAGGAATCATAGTCTAGCATAGACTATCTTCTGTCATTGCAAGTCGATACAGCACAAATCAATTGACACAGACCAATCAAAACGGATCGGTAGTAAACACCGCCACTCTTAAACTTCGTGTTTTCCCTCCGATTTACCTTCGTTCCCTAGCACTCAAGCGTTGTCCTTCAATACAGTTCTCGTGAAGCACATGGTCAAGTCGAAACTTTCAATGCCTGTGCCACACGTTCATGCGCTCGACGTCGAATGCCTCACAGATCCAGAAGTCATATGAAAGCTGTGAGCCCGTTAGGTTCTGCAGATGAACTCCTCTCGTAAAGTGCGATGTATGATGACTCACCTTTTCCTCCGGTCGGTCACCTGCAACATCTTGATTCCAGCACGTCCGTCGTAACGTACACTTTGCATAGCCTGCTCTTCCATCGCTTGCGTAGATTGAGCGCAGGTGGAGCTGCAGAGACTATCGCTCAGCAACATGACATCTTCAGTGGCGAACGGCGCTCCGCGTTCTCGTGACCGAAATGTGGTACAATTCTTGTACTGCGAGCAAAGCCTGAAGGTCTGTTCTGGCCGGACGGACCCATAAGAATATCGCCATTCTTGCGCACAGAGCCGAGCAAAGTATCTACTGAAGATCGCGACATTCCGTTTCCTTTCCTGCACGGAAAAGACAGCATTGAGCGTCGTTCCATGCCCCGTACTATCGTCGAATGCGGCGTATGTCGTATTCAGTTGTTCCAGAAGCGGCGAGGACCGCACGTAACGCCCACAGCACGGCGATGTGTGTAAAAGACTTGACGAAAAATGCCATATTCGGCTTCGATGCTGCCGCCTGGCTTGCAGTTGACGTCTATGAGGATATTTTAGTAGGGGTGCGTGTGGAAGTAGGCCAGAGCTTTGTGTATAAGGCCGCCACGGTCAAGATGTCGGCTAGGGAGGCCGTTGAGGGTGAGATGAGGCTAGAAGGTTGGGATGCTTGAAATGTGGGGAGCGGGCTTACGCCGACTGTGGGAAGAGCTGGTGGTAGGAATTGATTGCGGCGGGCCGGTTGATAGAGCGGAAAAGAGTAGGCGTCAAGATCCGCTACGCTGATGCTTTTCAGCGAGTTGTCGCCCGTTGAAGTGGAAGTTTCTGTGCTTGCGGTGGTGCCATTGATTGGTGAGGAAGTCCGACAGATTCCTCAATTCGGCCACACTGGCAGATGGCAGCTCTTAAAGACTACTGGTAGGATGGCAATGGTCGCTGATTGAATGTCGGACTTTTTGGCTTTACACATCCTGGCAGCTGTAAAGGGGTTGATTATAGCCAAGGAGCCAAGCAAGTGGGTCACGGGATTGCAAAGGACGTTGTCATTGCTGAAAAGCTGTACCAACGCAGCAAGCAAAAGCTCGTGAAGTCTTTGATCCTAGCTAAAAAGCCATACCAATGGCGCAAGCAAATAACCCGCAAAGGGGATAATCTTAGCTGAGAAGCCGAGCAAGTGGTGCACAAGGTGCAAAGGATCTTCTCCTAGCTAACAAGCCAATCAAGTGGTACACAGAGTGCAAAGGATCTTCTCCTAGCTAACAAGCCAATCAAGTGGTACACAGAGTGCAAAGGACATTCTCCTAGCTAACAAGCCAATCAAGTGGTGCACAGAATGCAAAGGATCTTCTCCTGGCTAACAAGCCATTCAAGTGGTGCACAGAATGCAAAGGGCATTCTCCTAGCTAATAAGCTAATCAAGTGGTGCATAGAGTGCAAAGGATCTTCTCCTAACTAATAAGCCTACCAAGTGATGCACAGAGTGCAAAGGACGTTGTCCTAGCTAAAAAGCCAAATGAGTGACGAATAACCAATGGCTTTGAAGTCAGGGATTTCATCCTAGCAGTACTGCCAGATATGTAGAAGGATGGTGTGGATGATGGCAAAGAAAGGCTGAATCCAGAGAGGCAACCGTCATGCGTAAACACGGAGCTGCAATGGAGAGGATTTGTTTTGCTAAACTCGTATCAAGGTCCAGTAGCAATTCCCGTCCACCATCTCAAGACAATTTGCAGTAGTGTGGTCGTGAGTCAAGACCGATCCCATTGAGCTTGTTGGGGCTCGGAGATCTGCTTCAGGTTCATGCCAAAGGATTCGGTGTAGGAGCGAAAGAGAAGCTGATGATATTGTCGTTGTGATCGATTGAATGACAGAGAGGATGAAAGAGGAAAAGAGAGCGTCATCATAGCGGCTAAGCTACAATTGGTAACGCTCGGAATGTTCCAAGCGCCCGAGGTAGAGTTCCCCTAGAGTTGGCATCGAATATCTGAAGAAGGTGCACTCGGAACCAATGCTGCTTTCGATATCTAAGAAGAGAGGAGCTCTGCTACACTGAATGCTCGTTTGGGTCAAATGCCGAGTCTCTCTTACTATGAAATGAAAAGAGAAAGAGGTATTGGTATCACTTCTACCAACGCATCAAATCATGGAGCCACCGACCCCTCACAGGGATCCTCCCAACTTTACTGCTAGAGCGCTCTGTCCAAATGCCTTGCCTAGCCCTTTTCAACTCCACCACACTAGACTTCCTCGGTCTTCCCTCTCCAGGCTTCATCTGCATCGGCGCGTTTCTCAGTCCCCCCTCCCCAGGCTTCATCTGCATCGGCGCGTTTCTCAGTCCCCCCTCCCCAGGCATTGTCTACATCGGCGCGTTTCTCAGTCCCCCCTTCCCAGGCATTGTCTACATCAGTACGGACAGCCAGAGAGTTTGCTAGCAAGTATTGGTGAGTGATTCTTGTGTACCATGTTGCTCTAAAACGAGAAACACACCTTTTGGAAGCGGAGGTAGAGCTTGTGCACCAATCGCGAAGAGCGCCATAAGATAGAGAATCTTTTGTGGTTGCATGTTGATCGACTTTGACCGACGTTGCAAGAAAATCGTCGTAAGGGTTACTTTTGGGTGGTTGCTGTGATTTGGTTGCTTGGGGGATGAGTGAAAAGCTTGGTTTCGAGACTAGAGAGGGGGAATTGATAAGATATTTAAGCTTGACGAGGGCAGCTTCGAAATGCGAGGCGCAGAGGTCACGAAGTTTAGTGCGAACTACGAATTGGACTAGTATCGACTGTGAATGACGGTCAGGCTGCAACACTTACCCGGACATTCGATCGTCGCTGCGTTTCAATTGAAGAAGATAAATTTATTATTACAGGTCTCTTTCGAAAGCTGCTGTCAATCGTGGCTACCCGATAAGCTGTACCATTCAATGTCTCAACAGCTCGCATAAATGAAAGCCGTCGTACTTGCATGAAGAATTGTCGTCTTGCTTCCATGAGAGTCCCGTGCTCGTTCTGGAGAGATCGGCTTGTTCGGTTGATCGGATGCATGAGCTGCGGTCTAGGTCATCTGATCAGCTACAGGAGCGTTACCAATTTCATCATCTGCTTCGATGAAATCGTGCTCGCTTGTATGGGCCGTTTTGGTCATATCATCATCTCTTTGCAGTCTTTGAAATCAAAGCGAGGAAGACATGCAAAACGAGAAGTGGATATGCAGGTCGAAAAGAGAAGAAGAGTATCTTCCAGACGCCGTTCCACTGGGTGCTTCGTAGGCGTTCAGAGCTTCCTTTCTTGGTAGACAACGCGCTGATCCATCAATACAGATGCTCCGACCATGTCTCTGCTGTAGATACCCATCTTTCATTGACAGACAAACTCAACGTCACATTGCAATGTTTGAAACTGGCGCAAACCGGACATACAGGACGAAAACCAGAAGTGGAGTATCTGCCGGTAGACAGTGAGTATAATTGGACGCCGTTGCACTGGGTGCTTCGTATGGAGAACTTTGAAGTTACTGCCTTGAAGCGAGACCTGCGAGAAGATGAAGAAGGTTCGCGGAACAGGTTGAGATTCTCCAGTCGCACGAAGCAGGGTTTGAATTTTGAATTTGGCGGTTTGCGTCTCACCTCAACCCTCAATCACGCAATTCTTTGAACAGGACTTGTCCAGTCCTTCGTTATGTTGCATTCTCGAGCATTTCCGACACAAGAAAAGTCTCTCAAACATTGCAAGAAATACCTGATGCGTAAAGCTCGCTACTTGACGTCATTAATAGCTTCTATAGTCTTGTGTAGCCTTGTATAGCCTGAGACTGCGGAACATCTACTGATGAATGATATTTTGTTCAAGGCATCTCATTTAGACCACACCGACAGACTCTTGTTATACTGTCAAATAATCATTTCCCGCTGGGCCTCCGTTGATAGGACAGCTTTCTAAACCCGCTTCTCCCTGCTGAAAATCTTTGCGGATGGCTCATTACACAATTTTAGCAGAGGACTCTGAGAGCTCCAGCAAGCAATATGACGATCGTGACAGCAGTGTCTCCGACAATGATCGCTTTCTAGAGAAGGACCTACCACTTCGGCCTCAACAGCCTTTCTATCGCAGACATTTCAAATCAACCGTCTTCCACTCTGTACTCTGTACTTTCAACCTCTTGTTCTGCCTTGCGATCTGGCAATGGCCCAGAAACCACTGTCCTTTCGGAGTGTATGGACCAAGCCTTGTCTACAGTAAGCTCATTTCTCAAGAGAGGGCCAGTACCTAACGATATCTTGCATAGCACCAGCACTAGACGCGATAGCATACGAGGCACAAACGTGGGATCCCACGAACATCTTCTTCAGGAACGGTTCAGCCGACCCGAACCGGCTGCACAAGGAATTTGGGCCACCTTCGCCCGAGTCAGATTTTGCATGGGCAGAGCTCATCCAATGTGAGAATTGCTGCACCAATCTCTGGATGTGAGCATAGGTACTAATTGAGAAATATCAGACCAAAACATTCGTCTCACAAAAAAGGAGCTTGGAGAGTATCGCGACAAACCAGGTCTTGTTGAACTTGCCGATGGGTCGGGGTACTATGCTACTTTATCAGTCTATCACTCCCTACACTGTCAGTATACAACAGAAGTACAGCGATGTTCGACTGACAGCCCTAGGTGTCAAACGCCTGCATCACCTCATGTACTTCGACCACTACTATCCCAACAAAACCGATCAAGAGTCGATGTTGATCAAGCATCACGGCCGTAAGTCCAGACTAGTCGTCTTGCAAACACCAAGCTGAGACAAAACAGAGCATTGCCTCAACATTTTACTCCAGACTGTCCAGTGCAACGCGGACCTAAGCATTCTCCCAATGCAGTGGGGCGCAACGTATGCTCCGTATTCCCCACCATGCATGACACTTCTAACTCCAATGATAGGACACGAGTCCCAATAGGCTTAGACGAAGGCCACCACCAATGCGTCCAATGGGACAAGATAGACAACTGGATGAAGGAGCGTAGTCTGGATGTTTTTGCCCCTGGCGTAATCGTGCATCCAATACTCGGTAAGTATCATGAATAATCCCTTTGTCATCTTGTCTTGCGTTCGCTCCTATTTACTGTTCTTCTCTCACAACCATCAGGCGAAGCATATCCCGATGGCAAAGGAAACGATATCGGAGTCGCGCTCGATAGGCTGCTGAGCGAGCAGGAGGATTAACATATGGTGTTTATTCGCAAATGATCGCGACCTAAGGCAAGCTTGTCAGAAGCTGCCCTTGTGGCCTCATTGTCTTGTCGCCTACCAACGTTCCTTGATTTGCACACGTTTCCATAGGGCGCTTTGCTTCCTCGCAGCTCATCAAGGTACCAACCCGTTCAAGTCTCCATCCCAATAGAGCATGAGCGGCGGCGCGGCCACTCCATCACATGAAAATTGTACCAGAATCCCCGGCGCCTCCCCACTGGCCCCAAAAGCGACCATTCAATCGGGCGCCGTACAGAGGTCTGCACCGAAAGTCCTGCACCCGCCAAGACTCTTGCGCTCAGACTTCGGATAACGCCCCACCTAAAGGGTTACCTGGACAATACGTCTGGAGTTCTTCGGAATCGCACCTAGCCCTAGCCAGGTTTCGGGGCTTACTACCCCTATCAAGGCTAAAAGAAGTACCTTAAATCCCATCATGCGCTGTGAGAAGATATTTTTAGGCTTCCCCTCTACAGGGCCGCTTTCCGAAAGTAGGGTTAGGGCTGCACTAGTGCGGGTGCAGGACTTTCGGTGCAGACCTCTGTAGTCTGGAAAGAATTGCACAAAAAGGGGAAGTGAGATATGCAATCTCGGGTGGCATTAGCAAAAACATCATTTAGCGCAACATACAAACCCACAAAGAACAAGGATGACCAGGTATCGTGTGGGTAGAAGAGGATGTAGATTCTATGGAGGCAGGATCCCGAGGATTCCCTAAGGATCTAGCCAAGCAAACTATACTATATAAAGCTAGAAAGAATAACCCCGTAGAAAGCACCTTTCAACTACTACGGAATAAACAAAATAGAGCTCTAGCGATTATAAAGCTATATATAAATATAAATAAAAGCTATTTCTATAATAAATAAAGCTATAGTATAGTATAGCACTTAAAAAAAAATAAAATAAAACTACTATTTCTAAAGCCTTTCGTAAGCGTATATACTTCTAAGAAAATATAAACTCTTAGAAAAGTATAGACTTTCGAGAAAGTATAGATTTTAAAGTCTTCTATAAGAAGTATTAACCTCTAGAAAAGCTTCTAGCGACGGCGTTAAGTAGTTTACTATTAAGGTATTAAGAAAGTAATAGAATTTAGAAGATAGTCTATATAAGTAACGAAGTTCTTAAAATAATCTCCGTAAAATATATATCTAATTTTTTAGTTATTAAGTTATATAAGTGTGAAGAATCTTTTATAGAATTTATTATATTTACTTATTCGAAATAAATCTCTTTAACGAGCTTCTAATTTTTCTATATTCTTCTAATATAATATAATTAGATCGCTAATATAATATATAATTTACTTAATTTTCTTATTATATTAAAAAGCTATATTCTTCTTCTACTAATTTAAATATTATCTAATTATATTATAAAGATTTATTTAATAAATAAGATATTATTATATAATTTAAATATAGCTAGTAAGATTCTTTAACTTCGCGACTTAAGTAGAAATATTATATTTAAAAAGTATACGTAAGGTAGATATACTAGTAGAAGCTTCTTATAGTAGTCCGAAGAGGATACTAATAGAAGAGATTTTTAAGTATTTAATAACTCGTATATTAATTAAACTTCTAATCTTTAATAGACGCTGATCTTATTTTAATTTAGTATAAAGGGAATCCTTATAAAGTACTACTTTTAGTAGTTTATTATAGATTTCGATTATTCTTATACTCTTAAAAGTATTAGAAGGGCTATATATAACGATAATATCTTTAAATCTCAAGAATTCTTTTAATTTATTATTAAAGAAATATTAATCGCGATTAAGATAATAGATATAAGACTTTCTATATATAGTAAAAAATAACTTAAAATATTAGATAATATTCTTTATATTAATAGAGATAGTAATAAAGAAAATTATAAATTTACTTATATAGTAGATTTTTATAAATATAAAAGTAGATTCTACTTTAGTAATTTTAAGTAAATTTATAAAATCTATTTTTATAAGCTAGAAAGAATATATAATTTTAATAGAATATAAAGATTAAGATCTAATAGTAGGTCTATATTTAGTATACTTAAGATATCTAATAATATATTTCTTAATATCTTATACTTTTTTAAGATTTAGTAGCTACGTAGTCTTACTAGAATATTAATCTTAATCTAATATTCGCTTTCGTTATAAACTTTCTAAAGTATAGTAAGTACTTTTCCTTTCGGCATATAAGATAAGTATACGCCTTTTTGAAAGATTTATAGAATATATTATATTACTCTAATATTTAAAAGCTTTTCGAAGTAGCGTAATAGTAGAGATCGAAGATTCTACGATAAGAAATTTATAGATTTCGCCAAATTAGATACTACTGCGAAAGGCTTTAATCTAAATCTTAACGTTCTTATCGATCTTATTAAAGACTTTTATAAATAATTTTATAGCTTCTATAGTAGAAATAGCTTTTAGCGAGAAAGAAGAAATATTATATAGCGTGCCCCTATTAATAACTTTAAGTTATTCCGATTTAATGAGTACTACTAGAAATAAATCGAATTTACTCTTATTATTCTTCTAGATTTATTTCGAGTTATAATTCTCTAATTTCTATTATACTTATATAACTATAATATTCTCTAAGTATTTAATATCGAATAAGATTCTCGATAAGTTATTAATAGCTTTATTTCGAGGTCTAGATATATACTAAATAATAAGATTTAAGCGATAAAATTTATTAATCTAATACTTATAGATTCCCTTATAAAGATCTAAGTCGAGAAAGTGCGTAAGAGGCTTATAATTAGTGTGTATTATAGTAGACTAATACGAGTATTTATATAAGTAGTTATACTTTTTATAAAATATAATAATAGCGTAGAGTTCTCGCTTATAAGTAGAATACTTCTTTTAAGTAAAATTAAAGATAAATGAATTATATAATATAGATATTTTCTTATTCTTTTCTATTATAATAGATTTTTAAGATTATAAAGCTTTTAATAGAATAGCTTCTTATAGTGTAAGAGTATAATACTACGTAATAGTATATCTAGCTGTAAAATTGGAAGTATTAGTATATATATAAACGATTTAACTTAGATTAATATCGTATATACTTATTTTTATAATATATTTAATATATAGAGATCTCGAAGAATAGCTATTCTACTTAAGTTTATCGCTATTTTATCTTTCTTATAAATTTAGAAAAGAGATCTCACGATTTCTACGAAGTTTTTTACTTATCGACGCGTAATATTAATAGTTTTTAAGAAATCTTAAACTTTCGATTAATTTAAAGAAATAGATTACTTAACTACTTTAATAATCTATTTTTTAAAAATATAAATATATTTTTTAATAATATAAGTTATATTAAAGGCCTTAATTAATAATATAAATAGTTATAGTTTCTTAAAGAATAAGAGTAACTTAGCTTACTTAATTCTAGAAAAGAAATAATACTATAGAAAAGAAAATAAATCCTCGAAGTTATAAAAGCTATTAAAGAAATTATTTATATAGAATATAAAAGATAGTGGAATCTTAGAATTCGATGAATATAGTAAAGAAGGTTTTAAAGAAATAGAATTAAATATTTTATAAGCTAGCTTCGTTATAATAAAGTCTATAGATTATAATCTCTATTATATTCTTATAGATTATATCTTAATTAATATCTAAAATAATAAAAGTAAAGTAGTATTTATCATTAGAATATAGAGATATTATAAGATATATATACTTTAAATTAGTTAAGAATAAGTATCTATAATGTAGATTAGATAGATAATCGTAAACTTTTAAACTTAGCTCGAGATAAGCTTCTAAAAAAAGCTTTATAATTTATAAATAATTAAAAGTTATTTGAGACTCATTAGTAGATTTTAAATTCTCGACTTTATCTACTATAATAGCTTGTATATTTTATAAAAATAGATATTTATTTACGCAGATTTAGTAAGTTTATAGATATTATCTTCGAGACTATTCTAAATAAACTTTTTAAATATTACTTTATATAAGAAGGCTAGCGCTTTTAAGATTCTGAGAAAGTAGACTTTATATTAGATATAATACGTATTTAATATATAATAAGATTCTATATAAGATAGATCTCTTAGATCTTTTTTATTAAGATATTTATATTAGTATAGTAATTATAATATTTATAGTCTCTACTCTACTATAATAATAAGTAAATTAAGAATTAAATCTAATTCTAGCTTATTAATCTATTTTTCAAATTCTAATAATAAGAAATACTATAAAAGACTTTAACGAATTATTCTTCTAGTAGAAAATACTTATTTAAGAGATATCTATAAAAATAATAATACTAGCGTTTTCAAAGTACTAAAGACTTTGATAGACTAATTTAAAAAGCTTATAATAATTACTTACTTTAATAAAGAAAAAGAATTAAAGAATTTTAAAGATAATAATAGAGGTATTTAAGAGGCTTAAATTCTTAAAATAAGCTTCTATGAGCTTTAGTAATTTAATATTCTTACTTAAGATAAACTTAATTTACTAAAAATTCTAACGCTTAATCTCTTTAATATCTAATAAATTATCTTTAGAATTAAAAGAACTATTAGATTCTAAAAAATTAATTTTCTTAACAAAAGTCTTTAGCTATATTCTTATTTAATAGCTTTCGAAGTTTTTATAGCGGACTTGAAATATATTAACAAATTATAATCTTTGTAGAAAACTATTTTCGAATCCACGATTCTTCGAACTTTCTTATCTATTAATTTATCTCTTAGAAAAATAATAGAAAGATAAATTGAAATAAAAGTATCTATAGAATAAAACTATAGAATTTTAAGAATTAAATTAAACTATTTAGATCTTTCTAATTTTATAATAAATATAACTTTCGAAGCTATAAAGTATCGAATATTTCTCTAGATTTCTTTTATATTAATTATAAGTTATATTTAATACTCTAATATAATATTATAATAATTCGCTATATATATAAAAAGATCTTTAAATTTAA